GTGAGTTTACCTAATTTTACCGTGTACAGTTAGAGTGATTTTTCTTGGTGTTAAAAATACTATTCTGTTATTTTTATAACAGATTAGTTTGCCAAAAAAGAGAGGAAAAACTGCTAATAGCAAAAAGGATTACTCTTTATAAATATTACTGTTAAAGAATGTCATTTAATTCAGTGCTCTAATAAATTATTTTAAAATGTATTTTATTACCATCATTTATTAAACAATAAGGAGACATTTTGGCTGCAAATAGTGATAACATCTCTATAGAACGGTATTTGGATGGTAATTTTTTTTTCTGACACAGTAGATAATTAGGAATTATAAATTATGCTTACACTCTTAAGCATGTTAGCTGGAGAGTATATCAGACTGTATGTTGTTCTTGGTGCCAGTTCAGGTCTTGATTTTCAAAAATTCTTCATGGGAACACATGGTAAGTTTCGGTTTAGATGAAGACCTTGCCACCTGTTTACATTTTAAATTAAGTTTACTTCATGTTTGTAAGAAAGAAAGTCATTATTGTCAACTCTTTTGCTGGCATCCTAGCCTTGTTCCTAGTGGTCAGATAATCTCATTTCAAATGTTTGTTTCCTGCAAAAATGGTGATAACTAATTTTTTGTCAGGGTCGGCAGGTAGCTAAAATAAATTGCCTCTGTTCATCAGATATGGTTCTTCCATAGGAAACTTGAAGTATGTTGACAGGGTAGCACAGCAACTTTCAGATGTTGGTAAACCAGTGTGTGATATGTAATAAATGAGATATGATAATGTAGAGCTCCGGGTCTGTCCCCACAGGATGCTTCGTAAATGCTTGAATCTCTTCACTTACAATGCCCCACAAGCACGGGCAAGGTATTTTTCAACCTCTATCTCCCAGGGACTTAGGGGAGGAACTGTAACTCTGGTAGTATGCAAGGCCATGCAGAAGTAAAGGACGCTTCAGTTTCTTCAGATGCTCTGTCACAACCTGCATCTTTATTTGGTACTCTGTAATATAATAATAAAAATGGTTAGGTCTCTTCCCTCTGTGTTGAAGTAGTTAATTAATAAGGATGTAAGCAACCAACATGTATCGTTTGGTAGAATATACAGTCCTGCCTTTGCTGAACTCTTGTTAACCCGGATGCCTGGTTAAATGCCACTAGATTATATATTTGAAGTTATTACTGTTCACATTATCCGTGATAATAGACACAGATAATATGCCGACATACTCCAGGAGTATGTCTGTGCAGACAGGTGCAGACAGATGCAAGCTTCCTCTGCCCACACTCTGAGCAGGCTGTATGTGAGCCAGTTTTGTCTGGAAGCCATCAGCATGTTGTGTGGCACTATGCCCAAGCTAAAACACAATGTCTTTTAGATAAATGAGGTTTTACAGCTTCTGAATTGAAGCTGACTCACATTCGGGTGGTTTCAAGAGTACTGGCAGTGTGAGTTTGCATCCAGCTGCCCATCTGCCTAGATGTATTCATCATTCCACATTGCTGTGGAAGGACTTCAGTAGAAACCCCCATCCTTGTATTCTTGTGCAGTTGTCTCTCAACATTTGTAGGTTTAAGGCCTCCCAACTCCACTTACATTTACTATAAAGATAAGAATTAAGAAGTATATTGACAATAATTGGGGGGGCAGTTCAACTTTGTATATGTGCTGTGGGTTTGATTCAAATCTTGGAGCATTTCAGTGAAGCCCATATGGAGTTATATGACAGCAGCTGTTTCATATGACTGTGAACCATTATTTCCTGGAAGCGTTGGAATTAAGTGTTTGGTTATGTATTTTCCCAAGATAGAAGAAGTTGTGTACTGAATAGAATTATCCTGTGAGCAACAAGACAATAGAGAAAAAAGATTTTGTTAGCTTTCCCTTGCAAAAACATTCTCATAACTTCTGGTTGACTTTGATAATCCCTCAACACCAGCAGCTGAGAAAAAGCATACTAGGGTCTGCAAAATCTTGTGGGTTTGGGGCTGCAGAGTCCAGAGTGCAGATTTTTCAAAGTGTGTTGACTGGTTCTCCTCTCCTGTGGGAGGTTTTACCTCATCTGCTACTTTAAAGTGGGGCTAGGGAGTGTTGCACAGTTGAACATTTATAACCACAAGAACATGTGATCATGTTGGCTGGTAATACAAAAAGGATGGATGTGAGTGAATCCCATTATCAGATGTTGAAATGATGTCAAATTATTCAGTAGTTCTGACTCTTCTTCCTCACTAGTCAGCTTTGTATTTTCACTGACAATTTTGAGGCAGTGAAATAATCTAAACTTTAGAGGGGAAGTAAAATTTCAGTGTAACTTCACGTAGTTTCCAAGTCAATTTAAAACTTTTATTCCATTTGTGGATTTTTACAAGGGGTAATATATGTTACACATAATTAAATAACATTATATATCATTAGAAACCTCATGGACAGCAAGTATTTTCCATGAGATCTTCTATTGGATGAGCAGACGTATTGGGTCTGGCTGGAATGGAGTTAACTTACATAATTTAAGAATTAATCTAAATATGTTTAAAAATTTTGGAATTCCTGAGATATAGATTTCTTTACCTGTTTTCATTCTGAGTGTGTTGGGTTAGTGATGGTTATGTCAATATTTTTCTCCAGATATTAAATAAGTATATCTTTAGATTGATAAATATGGTATAAATAGATTTATATTTTGATCTTTACCAGGACTAACTACTTTACAGCAATGTTTACCATGAATTAAAAATTAGGATTTAATCCCACTGGTGTTAATTGCAGACAGGGCAAATCTTTGTCCTACATATCCTGAAAACTAGAAGAACATTGTGAAACCTTTTTTAAAATAATGCTCAAAATAGCAACAAAGTTGTTGCTTGATGCAAGTTAAAAATTGGAAAATGTTCCTTGAGGAAAATGACTGGAACATTGTCAAAACTTCTGACTAACCTTTCTTTGTAGTTTTAGTACAGTCTTCTATCAGGTAACCGTAGAGGAACTAACCTAGTCTTACTCAATTTAGAAAAATATTTTATGTAATAATGCAATATGCTATTTCTTTGGCTTTAAAGTCACAGAATACCTGTTGCTAACACTTTCTGTCGGAAAGCTTATGTTATCGCCCCCGAAAAAACCCTCCACCTTCTGTGGTTAGGACACATTTCTAAACCAGAAAAGTACAGACCTGTATGTAAAAGGTACTGTGGAGAAAAAGCTGAAATTGTGTTATGTTCTTCTTGCTGTTTGAGCCACATGCTCAGAAGAGGGCATATTTACATTTTATATGGTGCATAAATTCTCTGCTTTCTGCAAGATGGGAGGAGTTGTTGAATACAGTAGCAAATCAGATTTCTTCTATTTCAGTGCATTAAGAATTTTAGATTTTAAGGAAAATGTTATGGAATTGAGATTGTATTTGAGCACAACACGTGAAAATACTGACAGTCTTTTACAAATTACTACACGGCAAGTTATATGCATTATTATGAGGTTTATAGAAAACAATATACCCATATCTAATTTCAAATTAGCATTATGGATGTGTGACCCTCTGATACATTTTTTTTCTTCAATACCTGTTATTTAAGATAATGAATAGCTTTCATTTAAATTAATAATGTTGGAGACTTAAGGCATTCTTTTTTAAACATCATTTAACTGTGATTAGAATGAAGAAGACAGAATAATAAATGAGACTATTTAAGTGTATGAATAAAATACGACTGTTTATCTAAATTGATCCATGTCTCATAACTTTGAGAGTAAAATAAATGGGTTGTTTTTCTTTGACTCCATCAGAAATATTGTCCTTATAAATATTTACATTAATACATTAGGAACTTTGAAATAAAAGTGAAATAGCTTTCTTGACAATGTTGCTGGCAAGCAAAGGACTGAGAATTCCAAACTTCCAGCTCACCTTGACTGTATGAAGTTCATGAGCTGTATTCTTACATTTGTTAGCCGTTGGAGCCTAAGGTAAATTTATGACTTATTTATCCATGTTTATTTTTTAATGATTGATCTTATATAGTTCTTGGAAAAGGTATAGGCCTTAACATATACTGTTCTAAAAGCTATTAAGTATTATGTGCTATTTCTTAACTGGTAAGTCATGGTCTGTCATTGAATGAGTTGCACAAGATGAATGTAGTTCTTTTATTGTGGAAAATGGTGACAGATTATGGCCTTACCAACGTGAGCATTTTAGAGTATAAGAAATAATAAGATACTGCAAGATCTGTGCTTCCAACTGCAAGTTGTAAAAATCCCCTTTGTCATATATTCTTACAAACTGTTTACAATGTACCCCTGCAAGCTTCTATGTATTTCTATATGTTTCTGAGTGCTATAAATTTCTGTTTGCTCTGTGGAGATTGAGGGGTTGAGATTCCAAAGGAAAAGATTCCCCATGAACAATTAGATCAAGGAACTTCTTTTCTAGACTTTATATTATACTTCTAGAATTATAGTTTTGTGGTGACACGATGAATAATAATAAATCTGCAGGAAAACATTTAAGTAAATGTGAGGAAGATATCCAGAAATTTCTGTACTGAGATCTCTAGGGTTCCAAATTAAGAGGATAATATAAAAATCTGTTTTATCTGTATCACTTTGCTTTTTATTGTTCAATCTGTATGATTTGAATAATTCACAAGAGATTTAGATAAGATATTCTGTAATTCAGGAAAGTTCAGGAATTTAAAAAAGAAATACCAAAGATTTTTAAAAGCAAGACATTTCACAGAAATATTTTTACATATCGTGTTGTAGTAAAATGGACTGAGATAAATGTTTTATGAAATAGTTAAATAATGAAAAATGTATAAAGATAAATTCTTTTGGCTAATCAGTTTATTTCTTTATTTGATTAGACTTGACAATGTTTGCTATTTAAACAATGTTCAGAAGGTAGTTGATTGTTCTCCTAGTGGTTAAAAGAAGCACTTGATGTAGTACGATGTAGTAGTATACATTCTGTTTTAATGAGACTGTAACAGTTTTTATTTTATTTTATCAGACAGGAAGCGTTGCTTGCTGCAATTAGTGAAAAAGATGCAAACATTGCGTTGCTTGAACTATCTGCTTCAAAGAAAAAGAAGACTCAAGAGGAAGTGATGGCTCTTAAACGAGAGAAGGACAGATTAGTACATCAGTTAAAACAGCAGGTGGGGAGACATTCATTTTCATACTTTCATGGCAACAGAAACTTGGCATTATTTTCACGTGTACTATTTTATTCTAACCTCATATTGAAAGTCTTCAAGACAGGTCTGACATGTGACAGCAGTTACAAAAGGTAGGAGGTGTCCAATGTAAGTGTTTATTGCTTCTCTATGGTTGTTAAGTACTTAGCTGCATGTTTACTTGGCTCATATTATATGCAGCCAATACACTTTCTGTTTCCCTCCTCATATAGCTTCCAACCTTCTCCATTCTGTGAGACAGAGGAGAGCAGATGTTCCTTGCCATAAAGCAGTATCTATCCATTCTGTTGCCTCTAAGCGTCTTCTGTTCAGTAATTTGCTTATCTGTTGTAAAATAATTGTGTTTTCAGAAGGTTTCAGGCTTTCTGAGAGGTTATCTGGAAATCATGATTATCCTTAAAATCTCAAATGAGTAAAAAACACCCTGTCTTCAACACTGTAAGTCATTTGAGGTTTTAATAAAAAACCATGTAGTTACAAACTCTAGAAATAGATTTTTATCACAAGCAAATTTAATTTATGTTCTGCTTTATTAATGAGGAAAATAACCATACTAGGCACAGTACACAGGTACCAAACACTGTACGTAGGTCTGTTCTCTGTCTAATTAAAATGTTTAAAACTCTGCATACTGTGGAGTGGCTACTTCCCCTAATCTTCAAAAGGTAATAGTCATAGCCAGAAGAGGTACTGTAGGGAAGTGGACAAAGGATGTTCAGATAACCTAGGTACTAAAGACCTGTGCTGTATGTAATGTATGTTGTTAAACACCTTTCCTCTTTCAGAATAGGTGAAAAAGATGAGAAAGATGTTTTCAGACCATGTCTGAAGGTGTTGTACATAATGTTTTCCTTTGTGTGACATTACTGAATTCTGTGATTGTTGCTTGAGGAGGAGAATAATACCATTGGCAAAATCATTCTGGTCTCCTTAGCCTGTCAGTAACCACTCTGCTGTCAGTCAGTGTGGCAGTTTACGACTGAGCATGCCATATTAATAATGTTTAGGACGTACTACAAAGTCAATGCTATGATTCTTTGTTCTGAATCATGCATTACATGTAGAACACCATGCATTCAGTAACAGAAAGTTAAGGAAAACCCTTGCTGCTATGTTAAATTCCCAATAGTTCTGACCTCACGAATCTAATCATTATAGCTTTTTCCCACAGGTCTATAAAAATAGGAAACAGCCCCTGAGCATGAACTTATCATCCATTCATGATGCTGACTTCATTACAGACATTCCAGCCAAGTACTTGTGTTCCAGCCATGATGCACTCATGTCTCAGGTCAGTCAGCTGGCCAGGAGACATTTCACCCAAGATTTATACGCGAAATAGGAAGACTGCTTTATGCTTTTTAGTACTTCATCCCACTGTGCTGCATCAGAGCAGATGATTTTACATTCCAAATAATTTTAGGGATTTTTGGTTTGGTTTACTTTGGAAAAGAGAAGGCAGTTATTTTCTCTTTTAGGTGTCTTCTTTTTTCCTTCCCTTTTATCTTTTGTTACTGAAGAGTAAACATTGCCATATTCCACGATACCTGTCACGGATATTTTTTAAATGTTCATCAGACTTGGGCAAACTGGTTTTTTGTTCGTTTGTTTATTTTAATTTGGTTTTGTACCTTTAAGCTATTGCTGAAAAGTGTTTAAAACATTCATAACTTTATTCAGACAGAGTGAAGGAACAGCAAAAGAGGATTGCTAGAGAGGCATTGTTTTGGATAACTTCAGTTAGAATTGTAACCAAATACTTCACATACCTCCATTATTTATAGTGATAAAGATCTTCAGTAAAGCTATTTAACTGGATTAAATTGATGCCAAAATAATCTCCCTGTTATCTCAGACACCACAAAAAAAAAAAGAGACACCAGGAACAGGAATGTGGTTTAACTAGGTCACCACTTTATTACACTTAAGAATTATCTGATAATAGAGGTTGTAGAGATCATTCATGCTTATTTAATCCCTTTGGGGAGAACCACTGTCAACCCCCAAAGCTTTCACATGTATATCCAACACAAAAGCTTGTTAGTGCTACTCTTCCTGCTATGACTGTGCTGGGTGGGGCAGGGGAAGTGACAGATTCCAAACTGTATGATATATCCACCCTGTTCTTCAGTTTCTTTGAGACATGCTGTCTCCCAATCTATTTCTGATTCATTACAACTTCAGTGAATGATCAGCTGCAGCATCAAATTTTTTCTTATGTCCTTATTTGTCCCATCTCCCGTTTCCACAACTGTTACACTGCTGAAAGAAAGATGAAAAAAAGCCCAACTTCTCCAGCCTAACGTAATCATGAAAGAAGAGATATATACAAATATTAGATGACTCACTAGACAATGCTAAACATTAGGCCCCCAGATCCACTCCTGTTCTACACTGTAGGAGGAATTTTTGCTTTGAAAGGCAAAATAACGTGGTAGGCAATGATAAAAATCTGTTTTCCTTTCATGTATATCCACAGTAGCCAATGGATTTTTATCCATCTACCAGTGAAGCAGGAAATCTTCTGTTCATGGCTATAGGAAGTTCCTGAGAACTTTTCAAGGCAGCAGGGCAAAGGATGAGAAATGCAGACCTTAAATAAAGTAAAGAGGGTTTTTATAAGTTTCTTCTTTTCATGTTGCTCCTCACAAAGGTGCTCTGTGTCTTTCAGTTACTGATAGGAAAGCTAGGCTGCATGTGAAGCACTATGGCTGAAAATCTTACTAACAGAGCATCATAACAGTAGGCTTTCCCTGTTCCACAAAGAAGCATCAGCTGATAAGAGTAAATGCACTGCAGAAGACCCCTCCCTTCTCCTTCAGCATCTGCAATTCAAGCATTTATTCTGATACATTTATACCCTAGAGGAAGTACCATTCTTAATTTGAACATCAAATAATGCATCTCCTGAAGATAAAAAAATACTGTTACAACTGTTCTGTGTTGCTACAAAATTGCTACTATTACAGGTGCATCAATTTTAGGAGATTTCTTCATTAAATGTAAAAGTATTTTCTACTTTGTTTCAGAAGAAAGTTGCTTTACTCCACTTATTTCTCTGTTTTCCTTTTACAACTCCCATGCTACTTCTAATGTTCTCCAAATTTTGCTGAGAAGTGTTCTCTTCAAAACCAGACTTTCATTTCACCATAGTGTTAGACCTGCAAAACAGAAGGACATTTGTTGCAGTAGAAGTTAGTATGGATTATGTCTTAAATCATGGAGTCAAGTTATTGGGACATCATTTGTAATTATTTTAGAGTGTTAACTGAAGTTAGAAATTTCCTTGGACATAATTTCACCTTGCCTGGAAATCTGCCTGCACTGTTGTGGATGTCAGCAAAGCTCATCTAGAAGCAACATCCTAGAGTTCCTTTAGATAATGTTGTTATATTTTCCTCGTTATACTGCAGAGTTCATGTGGTTATGCTGCAGTTGAACTTCTAATTGCATCTGCTCTCCTTATGTTCTCCATGTCTCCCAAGAACATCTTGTTTTTCAGACTTGTCATTTTAGCAAAGGAGCAATAATTTGAAATTCGCCTTCAGTGAGGATGAGCTTTACCATTTGAAATAGAAAATATTATTTCAATCAAGTTTTATTTTGTGATCTTTATAGACAGGTGAATCACTTTGTCCTAAATAAGCTGTTGTGAAACTTCAACCCTTGTGCTGCATCATTATATATCTGACAGTTTGATTTGCTTTTTGCTTCTGTTTGCAGTTTGGGGAGTTTCTTTCTATCTCAGAAACTCTTTAAGGTTCTGTTTCTGCTGCTGTCTCCTTCCATGGCATCCTGGACTTTGTCATGTAGTTGATAAACTCCAGTTCCATATTTCTAGCAATTTCAAATCATGCTGTACTATGGATCATTGCAACGGATAATACCTAAACCCCCACAACATTATACTCCGAGCCTAGGATGCTGACTTGCTATTGAAGTGGTGGCTTCAGTGTCTGAGGTAGGATCACTGTAGCTTGGAAAGTCCTCTGCTGATATGAAAAAGTACGTACAAAGGGCTGTTTTTTGAGAGAGCTACAAAGGCTGTTTCTTGAGAGACAGAAGGAGAGGTAGGTATGTGGATTCATCAGAATCAAAGATTTCCAATTGTGTACGTGAAATGTCCAGGAATATCGTCTTTGAAGTATAAGAAGGGAAGCCACTGTCTTCCTCTGGAAAAATCCTGTAACTGAAAGTAGATTTCCCAGAGTCAGATTTTTTTTTTTTTTACGTACAAAATATGTGAATACTCCTCCTTAGTATTTCTGTGTGCAGGGGAAGGCCAACTACTGCTCTTTCACTAACTCTGATGAGGCCAGTGAGGGTCGTGATTTAAGGGAAAAGGTTGTGGAGTTTTAATGCATATACTTCATAACATTCTTAGGCGTTTACCTAACTGGGACATCAAAATGCTTGCGAATTCATCTGCTGCTATTGAGAATGCTGTGCAAGAGCTGTGGTGGCTCCCACCATGTGAGGTCATTGTAGGCAATCAAAAGCCTGCTTCACATTTAAAGGGATAGGGCACAGTATGTAGTAGAGGTCTTAAAGGTTCAGGAGGTCAATTCTATTAAACTTAGTGGAGTAACCCAAAGTATTGAGGTTACTCATAGAATTTTATTGTTGTTGGATTAAGGCCAGAAAAACAGATTCTATCACTGTACTGTAATATATCGCAGACTCGCACTGAGATTGAATTGCCCAAATGCAAATATAGCTTCTCTTGCCACAGATTTTCACTGCGAAAAAACTTCTCTAATCACTGTGGTAGACTCCTAAAGCATCCTGGTGTATTTTGTATTTCAACTGGAAGCTTCTTTGTTCTCCATAAGCTTCCTTGGGGTTGCTTCAGAAGAATATTAACATTCTGCCACACGCAATGAGCATGAAAAATTCCATGAGATGAAGAAAAGTACCAAGAGCTTTTCAATATCTAGGAGTAACTGGCTATTGGTTTAATA